TAATAATAATAATAATAATAATAATGTTTATAATAATAATAATAGTAAAAAGAAATCATGCCTCAATGTTATTCTACCACTCGCTATCAAAGAAGAATTGGTGGCCAAAATGCTCTTTACGAAGCAATTAATTTGCTTAAAAATAAAAATCAATGGTAAGATAATAATTGTAATATAGTAATAATAATAATAATAATAAAGTAATAATATTAATAATTTTTAGGTTAGTACAAAAAGTTAGAAGGTTGCGGACACAAGTAGAGGCATTAGGAAAAGAAGTGGTAGTGTTAAGAAGAGAGATAGTAGTTTTGAGGAGAGAAAAAGATGATTTAGAAGAACAGGTAGAAAATTTAGAAGAAGAGGTAGAGAATGCTACATTTTGTATTAGAGCAATTCAGGCGGAGAATTGGGAAAGAAATATTCAGTATGCGAATTTGGTGGCAGAGTGGAGTGAACTAAGAGCTGAGATGGAGAATTTGAGAGATTTAATTGAGAATATTCCAGTTCTAAATTAATTTTCTTTTTTCTCTTTTCTTTTTTTTTTCTTTTGTTTGTTTCTTTTTTTATAAATAAAATTTAATTGTTTAGCTTCTTAAGAAGTTTTTATGTTGTTTTGTTACTGTTTCACATCCAACTTTATTCATCTTGAATGGCGAAGTTGTCAATAGGGCTCATATTCTTTAAATGCGAAAAGTAATGTCTATTTTATATCCAACTTTACTTGAATTTTGGATGGTGAAGTTGTAGTTAAGGCTCATGTTCCTTAAATATGAATCTTTTCATATCCAACTTATCTAAAGTTAAGTGGCAGAGTTGTCTATAGGGCTCATATTCTCTAGATATAAGATATAATTTCCAAAGTTTAAATATATTCTCAATAATATTCTTTTGTTCCTCCTAATTCATAAAATTCTATTAAAAATAATGACTAAGAAAAGTAAATAAATATAACGAATAAAAAAAAAGTAAATAAAAATAACAAATAAGAAAAGTATGTAAAAATAACAAATAAGAAAAGTAAATAGAGCTCCAACCATCGCTCTAAACTGTCCTAGACACTATATTATACTAGGCTCATAAGAAAAATAAAAATTTTTTTTTTATTCAATATATTTATTATTTTTTTTTATATTTTTTTTTTATATTTTCTCTTTTTTTTTAATAATTGAAATGTTAATAAATAATAATAAAGAATAAATAAATGGTAATGAATAACAAATAATAATAATAAGTAATAAAGATTTAATAAACTAATTTTTCGTAATCTTCTGTTTCTAATTCACCAATCATTGATGCATTAATAAAACTTGATTTATACAGTTGATGTAATCCAAATTTTTGATATAGTGTGTGGATCCGATTAGCTTGCTTCCACACTCGACATGATTTGGTTTCTCTAAAAAAGTGAGTTAACTGGGTCTGTATATACCAAGTTATTTGTTTATTGCTTCTATTTTTTTCTTTTAATTGTCCCAGATAATAGAGAGCTTCTAATCTTTAGATTTGTTTATTTTTCTTCTTCCCAAAGGTTTGAACTTTTGTAATTATTTTATTAAAGATTTGAATATCATCAGTCTTGATAAGGAGAATTCAATTGAACTCAATCCTCTATTTCATGTTCCAAATTTTGTTTAATTTGGTTGATAAGAAAGTCATTATTCTTTTTTGTAAAACTTCGGTAATTACTATTTTTTTCTAAAGGGTCTTCTGTTATTTTAATATTTTCTTGAATATTTGGTGTGTCAATGGGTTCAAATGTTTGAAAAATTGTATCTCATTCTTTACTATTGATAAATACCTCATATAGATTATCATATTCAACTAAATTTTCTGTTGGCTGTTGAATAATATAGTCAATTGAGCTTGTTGTTTTTAGTCCATTTTCATCAGTAATAGAAATATTTTGATTAGATATTTCTATAATATTGTTTGTAGTATTATTGTTTTTCAAATTGTCAAGAATTGTGTTAGAGCTTGGACTCCTTCAAGTGGCAGTTAATTGAGAAAATTATTAATAGTTTGAGTTTCTATTGTTTGATTTGAGTAGTTGTTGTATAAATAAAAGTTTATAAGCAATATGTCCAATCTGATTACAGGCATTGCAAATAGGAGCTCTGCATTGTGAAATAAAATGTTCAGGTTTACTACAATGATTACAATTGTTATTTCTTTGATTATTATTGTTGTTATTATAATTGTTGTTGTTATTATGATTGTACTTATTATTACAATTGTTATTGTAATTATAATTATTGTTATTAACTATTGTAAATAATAACAGTTGTCTGGAACATAGTAGTCATTAAATAATTAGTCAAATGATATAGAACTAAATTTTTGATGCATCGATTGTTGAATGTTTAATATTAATTCACGTAAAGTCAAGCTTGTAATTTTATTTAATGATTTACAATGTGAAGGATAATATGTGTGAGTGATACCGTGAGTAAATTTTCTTAATTTCTTGTGCACTCGGAAGTGTATGACCCCGATTTCAAGCCTTCGTTTATTAATCACAAATAATTAAACTTTATAAATTTTGTTGAATCCAAAATCTGCCGACATACTAATCAGGAATTTCGATGTTAACTTGAGAAGAACCTCGCCAATCTTTTAAATAGATTTGATTGTTAAAATTATATTATTTATAAAACATTGCAATGAAGAAATTAACAAATATCATTAAAACTTACGAGCTGATGTATAAGTATTTGTAATATTTCGTATATTAATAGATCTACTTGTATATACAGCGTTTGGATGACTTCGTGATGTAAATTTTAAAGTGGGAATGATCTTATCCGCTGCTAAAAATTCGTTTCTGATTTCAAGTTCTTTGTTTAAAATTCTTGGCTCTTTAATAAGATTTGTCCACCAAGAAGATATTTTGTCATAAATTTCATTAACACTTGGTCTCTTTGTTGGATCAGCATCCATGCATCGATTTGATAATTGAATATAACAATCTGGTGTTCCTGGTGCAAATCTTGGTCGTAATCCATTTATGATTTTTGACAAGAGCTCAATGTCATGTGATTCATCATCAAATGGCGGTCTACCAGTTGACATTTCGGACATAATTGCACCAAAACTGTATATATCTGATTCTTTTTTATACTGACCAGATGATAATGTTTCAGGTGCTATGTATGGCATTACACCATAAATTTCTCCGTGTATGGTTGAACGATCAGTTATTTTAGATAACCCTAAATCACAAATATGGGATTCTATTACTCCTTCATTACTGAATAGAAGTACATTACCACTATGAAGATCACAATGAATATATTCCTCACTATGAATTCCTAT